GACCCCTAAATTACACCACGTACACAGAAAGATTCCGCAAGCAGATCCTAGGGCAGAATTGTGGACGAAGATATGGGGGTTTCCGAAAATAGGGGACCCTAATATAGTACCCTAAATAATAGGATCCCTGTTATAAGGACCCCAAAATAAGTTCCCCCTAATTTTCGGAATGTCCCACATCAGCTCGCACCGTGCTCGGCCCGGGCCCGGGGCCTTCAGTCAGAGAGATGGACACCTGAAAGAGTGAGAAGCCTCGGCGGCAGGATGTCACGAGAACCCAGAGAGGCCAATACCCCTTAACTAAGGAATAGGGGTTTAGGGTTTAGGGTTTAGGGTTTAGGGTTTAGGGTTTAGGATACTCCTTAACTAAGGAGTATACCGTAAATTATAAGGGGCTTCATATTCTGATTTAGAACCCAGAGAGCCCAATACCCCTTAACTAAGGCATAGACCTTAAATTATAAGGGGCTTCATAGTATGATTCAAGCTATATATTCCTTAAGTAAGGCATCTACCTTGAATTCTAAGGGGCTTCATAGTATGATTTAAGCTCTATATTCCTTAATTAAGGGGTGTTGGGCTCTCTAACCCTAAACCCTAAACCCTAAACCCTAAACCCTAAACCTCTGAGAACTTCTGGACATCAGGGCTCCTGGGGCTTCGAGTTCACGGTTGGGCTCATGGGGCTTCGGGTTTACGGTTTCGGGTTCCCTGTAAAGGGTACTATAGGCTATAGGGTTCTATGATAGGGTTTCCTTTAAAGGGTACTATAGGGTTTTAGTCTACGGTTTAGGGTTCGGAACTTCGAGACTATGTGTGTGCGCTCATTCAAACGTCCCTTCCGGGTGTCCCCTGGCGCATGGAAGAACTCCAATCAATACAGGCCGCCTTTATCTCCTATGTCCTTGTCGTCATGTGGGTAAACATATAATTAGTTAAACCAAAAAAAGGAACTACGATGGAGACTATAGGTAGATGATCTCAGCTGCAGCCAAGCAGCTGCCAACCTCAGAAACCCCGGCACTGAGCGCCGTGGCCCATTTCCTCAAACCCTAAACCCTAAACCCTACAGCCGGCGCTGGAAATCTGCAGGTGTTCGGCTAGGGTTTAGGGTAGTTTAACTTAAAATCGGGCTATGACTTCAGGGTTTTGGGTACTGCTCATCAAGGACATGGTTCAGCGTTTAGGGCAGAGGGCAATTCAAACAAGATAGGGGCCTTAGTATGTCGCCTGTGGGTTGGGGGCCGTTGTAATAGGACTGTACTAGCGAGCCGTAGCGAACTATATGTGACAGAATTATCGGGCTGTCCTTTCATCATCCCTTACGATCGTCTGATTGTCGAGAAACCAACTTAACGGTTGCTTGCCGAGGGCATTGAAGGAGTGCTGCAGCTAGCGGTTTTGATACAGTCGCCTGAGATAACCCAGGGAGCCTAACATCCCTTAGTTAAGGAATATGGCTTAAATCATAATATGAAGTCCCTTATAATTTAAGGTACATTCCTTAATTGAGGGGTATTGGGCCTGGGAATAGGAGTCGCAGTCAGGAAAGGCTCAGGCGCCTTGGCTTTAGGGCTTCAGGGTATACTCGAAACCTAGTATGATTATCGCTGATCGTAGCGTCCATACAAGAGGAGGAACTAGAGTAGCAATTCTAGGGCAAGAAGGACATCAAACTACAAACGCACATATTCCTGTGGGTCCATGTGTTCAAACAGTTTGGACTTAAAGTAAATGCTGCGCGGCCAAAGTATATATACTATTTGGGTACATGGACCCTTGTATGGGTGTGATGATGATGCGAGTTGTAGGGGCTCATGGTTCTGCGCTTGGTGTTTGGGGATTTCGCTCTTAAGATTAGGATCGACAGTTGCGGGGGAACAGCCGGAGATTGTTGCGAGCTTTCCAACCTCCTAGTTCGAGACAAAATACTCCTCAAATGCACCTCCACCCTAAACAGTAAACTCCAAACCCCTAAACCCTAAATCCCATACCCTGAACCCTCTACCCTAAACCCTTTCCGAAAGACTGTTGAAGTTTGACGCCCCCGAAGCCGAGCCTCTGCTACCAAGACATCCTGAAACCAGAGGGGCCCCAACTCAATGAGATAGTTTTCCAAATTAGGGTCCCTCTTTGGGTCCCGAAGGACACCAAAAGGGACCCTAATTTAGAGAACTACCCATGTGGGAGCCTTGATAATTTAGGGTTAAGGGTACAGGGTTCGGGTATAGGGGTTACAGCGTTTCCGACTATACTAAAACTAGAACACGGAACCCACAAAATGGTATTGGTAATTATTTAGGCCCCTACATTCAACCCTCATATCCCGCATCGTATCGTTAACCGTACTGATGCCCAGGCCCACAAAGAACAACTTAGAAGCATGCTGTGAGATTTGCTGCACCTTGAAT